GAGTGTACCCAGAGAACCCAATACCCCTTAATTAAGGAATATACCTTAAAGGGTTCCTTAAAGGGATCTATACGGGTTTGTAGGGTTTAGGGTTTAAGGGAATTCAGGAATATACTTTAAATCGTAATATTAAGGCCCCGATAATGTAAGGTATATTCCTTATTTAAAGGGTATTGGGTTCTCTGGGTAGTTGAACTTGCCGGGGGTTCGTTGTGAATCTGTTCGGAACCCACAGCCCTAGCATGGTTTCGCCCGGTGCAGTGGTTGTCCAAACGGTTTAGGGTTTAGGGCTTAGGGGTTTAGGGTTTGGGGTTTAGGGTTTAGGGTTTAGGGTTTAGGGCCTCCACCCTAAATTCAGAAACGGGCACCTTCACCTCTGCACAGCACAGACATGTACAGACACGCACCATGCAGTTCATTCATTTCAGATTCTGTTGCATTATCTCATAAAGCTTGCCTAGCAATGCCTAGCATCAGTTGAGAAACCTGGACGTGGACAGTTGAGACTTGCCCCAGAGGTTCCATATATATATATATATATATATGGGTAGTTCTCTAAATTAGGATCCCTTTTAAGGTTTGTTAAAGGGATCTCTAAGGGGTTTCTAATTATAGAGTTTCTATAAGGGTACCACAATAAGGGTTCTGACTTCAGCGCATTTTTTTTGCAGGATCCAGCCGGCCTGTCTTGACACTCGAGCTCCTCTAGATAGAAAGACCCCAGGCAGACGCACTAAACCCTAAACCCTAAACCCTAAACTTAGGGTTTAGGGTTTAGGGCACTTTTCGATTCGCAGGAAGCTTCGCCCCTACCAGACGCCGTCGATCTTCGTTCTGGAAGCTCCCTGGCCACTGCCGCTCCCGAGGCAGAGCGGCGAGAGTTTGTTGTCTTGGCGCAAATATTTAGACTTGGCGTCCCCAGAGAGCCCAATACCCCTTAATTACGGAATATACCTTGAATCATAATATGAAGGCCCCTATAATTTAAGGGATATTCTTTATTTAAGGGGTATTGGGTTCTATGGGTCATGCAAAAGTCTTGAACTCGACAGCGCTCAACCCCCAGCTTCAAGAAGCCCAGCCATTTCACAGACGCTGGCTCTCCAGCCCATCGAATTTCAAGAAGCCCATCCGAACCCTAAACCCTAAACCCTAAACCCGAATCATCCGAATCCTCCCTCTTTGCCATGCCAGGTGACGGCTGCTAAGGGTGGCCCTGAAGGCAAGGCTCTCCTTTGGCGTTTCAAACCACCACGAGCCGAACCCGGTTGGCCCTGGTTCGAACCCACCCAGACCCCCAAAAGGATCTAAAAAATAGATCCCTTAATTTGGGACCCTAGCTACTAAAGGGTACTTTATAGGAACCCCCTTAGGGGATCTATTTTTTAGATCCTTTTGGGGGTCTGGGGCAGAGACTCCAATATTCCTTAATTAGGGAATAGACCTTAAAACTATCGTAGGATCCCTAAACCCTAAACCCCTAGACCCCTAAACCCCTAAACCCCTAAACCCCTAAACCCTAACCCCCAAACCCTAAACCCTAATATGATAAGGGATATTGGAGTCTCTGGGAAGGTATAGGGCCAGGGGGGCCGGGCGAAGACTTCGAGGTTTGGGGAATCTCCGAAGTTCAAGCGCAAGGGTTTAGGGTTTAGGGTTCAGGGTTTAGGGCTTAGGGTTTAGGGTTTAGGGTTTAGGGTTTAGGGTTTAGGGTTGAGGGTTCAGGGTTTAGGGTGGAGGGTTGAGGGTTTTACCTTCGCCTGAATCTGACGCAGCTTCACTGCTTTTGAAGGTGAAGAAGACATGCGGCCAAGAGAGGGGGACGAGGCCGCCAAAACAGATTGCTTGGGTTCTGAAGCGTTTGGGAGACAAACCAAACCCTAAATGCTAAACCCTAAGCC